GATATTATAAAGAAATTTTTTTATTATAATAATTACTTTTTTATAGTTAATATTTGTTTCATAACAAATGATATATTAGATGGCTTCTCTATCTTATTCAAGGGGGAAGACTTTAATCTAGACTCTAGGGGCTTTTGTTTTTGTCGAGACATGATAGACACTTTATTATGTCTCGTGTAGTTAGTTATTTTTAGTATCTTCATTTCTATATTTTAAAAAGTTGTATTGGTATCAATATATTTATGAAACTAAGACATATATATTCATTTACCTTAACGTTAGTGGTTTTACTAATGGGTGATAGCGGACGACAATATCGAATGTAGTTGTTGTAGATGAGAAGAGCGATAGCAAGAGATGAGATCACTCTGCATTTACGTTGATGCCAACATAGTTGTTCAGCAGCTCTTTCACGGCTCTGCATCTACGTCGGCATCAACATAGTTGTCGACTGGCAAAAGAGTCGCTCGACATCTACATCAATGTTGATATAAATGTAGAGTGGTATCACTCGACAACTACATCGATATCGATACAGATTGTGGTAGCCATTATGACATCTATGACGAAGATAACGGTTGCCTCGCCACTGACCCATTGGGCAGATCACTCGACCCAAAGCTATGGTCATTGGAGCTCCTGTCGCTCCCCCCCCCCCCACGTCAGTTTTAGCATGGGTATGAAAAAAGAGAGATGTGAGGCATTGAAGGAGAAGTTCTATTCACTGTGGTTGTTATCGATCAGGAAGGAAAGCTTTGAAAGGCTAACAGGTAAGCAATTGTTGAGCTTCTAGCGGACGTATTTGGCAACGATAGAAAAATGTGGGTCTCAAAATTCGACGCTAAGTATGTCATCGTCAATGCAATTGTCGATTCACCCTTTCGCCACTCTACATTTGCATTTATATCAACATAGTTGTCGAGCAGCAAAAGGATTGTCCGACATCTACATCGATGGTCCTTTTGTCGCTTGACAATTAAGTCAGTATCAACGCAGATATATATAAGCCTTCATCTCTCACCATCACTCTTCTCATCCACAACAATCACCCGCGGTCACCAACAATATCGTCATCTGCCATCACTAATTGAAATATTAAAATTATATTTTTATCTTTTATTTTTATGCTTTCGTTAGTAAAAATGATGACGTTAGGATAAATATATCTAGATATATCATCTTTGTAGTTAATATAATTTTTTAAAATATAAGGATCGAAATGCTAAAGTAACAAAGTACGTGTGATAATCCATAATTAGCGTAAAGAGATATCATAATCACCTTCTCCGACATGCAAGAATCTTACCTTTAAATAAATTATGTTAATTTAAAATCTTCGAAAAAAAAAGAAGAAGAAGAAGAAGTCGATCAATTTGTGTGTAGCAACCAAATGACGACGACCTCCACATCCCTATAAAATTGCCCGACGCATTAAAGAATGTTCACCCACCCACCACTATATTCCAATGGTGATTAGGTTATCATGAGATGGGAGGTTATGGCTTCCTACTTTTTGGATGCCACACTACGTTCGTACATTATTCTTTGTTCTTTTATATTTCCAATTTTCTATTTTTTCTTTTGATGCCTATTACGTATAAATAAACACGATTTTGAATGACGCATTTAAAAGTGACGATATGGTAAGCTGAATTAGAAATCCAATCAACTTTTTAAGGATTCAAACAATTATGTGTAGTGTATGACAAATTTCGTGAAAGAGTTGCTATATCTGAATTTTAAATTTGGAGTTCTTTGGAGATTTTGTATTGATTGATAATTTGGTCAAATTTAATAAGTTAAATTAAAATTGAATTAAGAGTGGGGTTTGACTTAAAATTAGAAGCTTGGGTTGTTATCATATTACATTAGGGATAGGTTATAGCGAAATGATAAATAATGAAAGATCGTAATTGATTTAAAAATAAAAATTATAGTTTTGATAGGATTAGACTTTCGGATTCAATTTAGGAGTTACCTTAACCTCCTCTTATATTCTTATCGATATTAGAAATACTCATCTTCAAATATCTCGAGCATATATCTTTTAACCATTAACTAGTAAAAAAAAATCTAATATGACATTAAGAGCACCCAACTAGATTAACTCTTCTAGAGCGAGTCAAGTTCAGATCAAGTCGTACTGATGATTCATTCAAAGGTGATAATTGAGAAATAACACCTATAATTCATTTTTTTTAATTTAAAACTATTATTAAGTGGTATTAATTTATTTATTTTTACAAATGAGAAACAACTGGATTAACTAACTCTTGAACTTTTAATCATTTGACTAGTGATAAATATATAATAATTAGTAATACATATCGAAGATTTGTGGAAAGTATCATACACTTAATAATCAATGTTAATAGCATCAAAACAAACAATCTAAGTAGAGCCACGATCTCCCGCATGATGATATTAATCAACTCTTATACCCACTTCCATGAATCGTATGACCAAGCAAAGCCAAAGCTAAGTAGAGGGCATTGCAACCTTCAAAAAGAAAAGTTGGGTAGGCGTGTGTTATGTGAGTTGGATCTAATTTGATTAGTCATTCTTTCAAGTGCAATGGAACACATCCCGAATAAAGTAGAGTGGCTTAAGCAACCCTCCTTTTTATCTTCGTAGATCACAATGATAGCTCCTTAACTTTAGCTAGATGATATTGAATTTGATGTTCATCTTTGGTACATATGTTGCTTACAATGCTACAAGCACATTCGCGCCGACACTTCGAGTCCCACATAAATTGGCCTTTAGTGGTGTAACAACGCACCATAACCCATTAATTGTTTGGTTCGACCCCACTTAATTAATAGACCCAATCATGAAGTGGTTCACATATCTTTATGCTATGCAAGCCTACTTAAAGGTTGGATTAATTAACCACCGACTACGTTTTAGAGTAAGACTCTCCGACACATTTTAGGTAAGAAATCATATCTTCGAATTCGTGCCAAGATTTGAATCGATATGATATATATCATACGTATTAACTCAATAGATATAGAATTCATATGACTTGAAATATTTAAGTCCCTTACGAGCCAATTTAAATATTCTCTTATATCCATTATAAGATTCCCTCAAGTGAGTTTAATCTTAAAAATTAGATTCGGATAAATTTTTTGTAATTAATTATACATTATATGAAAAATCATGTACCCGAGTTCTTTTCTTTACAGAGTTCATATCAAAATTATAATCATGTACCCAATCATGCTATTTTTTTGACTCATGAAGTCTCGACCTTGAAAAGGAAATGAACATAAGATTTCTAACTCAAACCAATCACAATCTATCATGAAAAGACATGTATCGACACAAAGTCGAGTGCCCCCGCCGCCACCACCACTTCTTCTTCATGTCAATGACCGCCACTTCTTCTTCCTCGTCCACCAACCTTTACCACCATACTTGGTTGCCTCTTCCCGTCACTCCAAGAAGATATATAGATCACCCACCATGGCATCGGATCGATTCCCTACTTTATTAAATGGCAGGCCCCACACGGGAATTGCTTTCCAACTACAATCAAGAAGAAGAACTCACTCACATGATCTCAATTGCCATTCTCACGATTAGGTATCTCAATGTTAATTTTGTACCTTTAGATGATCAACTAAAGCGATGTTCTTAAAGTCATTAATTCCCTCTTCTTATTTTATTACGATTTGTGGGTATTTTGATGGAGAAAAGGCATACATGTACATATGTTTTATATCTCTCTATCACGAAGTCATCATAATATGGATTTATTTGAATAAAAATAAATCTTGTTCGATTAACTTAATAATTAAGGATCCAAAGAATTCTCCGTTAATTAGATTAAGAATTATAATTATGAATATGGAATAATGATAAAGTTCGTTTAATGAAAGCCAAAAATTAGTATTTCTTATAATTTTTTGTGGTTTTTTTAGAAACATATATTAGATTTATTGTCATCTTTTAAAGATGATTTTATGACATTCATAATATTTTTAATTATTATTATTAAGCAATTAAACGTATTAGTTAATGTTAGGATGGATTGCTAAAAATAAAGTATTGCATAGAAAAATCATTTGGATGTTTTTTTTTCACTATCTGTATCAGATAATTAATATTTTTAACAAAAGTATTTTTTTTGTTCTTTGGATTATTTATAAGATGAATCATTATGGTGGAAAGGAATTGCAAAATATTTTTATTTTTTTAAGAATATAAAACATAAATCATGTCTTATAAATGTAATGACATTGATCAAAATTCCAGATTGATATTAGAGCAAAAGATTCTAAGTTGAAAGTTTTTCTGATCACAGTTTTAAATAATTAATTTTTTGATAGCTTAAGCTTTCAGATGTAATGATATTGATAAAAAAAAACCCCATAAATCATTTTTATTATTTTCTATATCATATATATATATATATATAATATTAATTTATATTATATATAAAATCCCATATATTATTTATATTTTCGATTTCCAAAAAATATTAGGATTTAAAATTGAAACAGCTATTTCGTCCAATCCTTCCAATTATAAGATAAAGAAAAGATAATGGCAGAAAAATAATAATTTGGAACTGAAAGACCAGTCTCGGAATGCAGTTCCCGTTCTTCGGTGGCCGCAAACACCAGTCCACTTATTGGTCTGCTCCGGTCTCTCACCGCACTCCCTCACAGCAACGGAGCCTTAAGGCTTCCACTGCCAATCTCCCTTCGCTCTTCACCTCTCTCCGTTGCCTGCAGCCAGAGATGCCTGAAAGCCATTAAAGAACCCATTTTTCTTGTTGTTTTGTGTTCCCTTCCTCTCTCACTCTGCGCCATGAAGGAAGCCTCAAAGCCTCCGAAGAGCTCCGCCGTTGTCTCCGATCTAACGGCCCTCTTCTCCCTTCTCAGGAAGAGGAGGACGAAGGTCTTCCTTTATGGCTTTGCCTTCGCGTTCGTTGCCTTCAGCGCTTATTTGGCGTTTTGCCCTCCGGAGAAGACCTCCCCTTGGTTCAACAACCTCTTCACGTCCGCTTCCGTCTCCACCGCTCCCTACAGATCTCAAATATCTTCCCTTTTCTCTTACATCTTTCCCAATTCCTCTTCATCGCCATCACCGGAGAATGCGGCGCCTTTGCCGGAGGATCTGCCGGCCGACGGCGGTGGGGCTGAGAAAGGCGGGATCTTGGCGGGTAATTTGACGGCAGAGGGCGTCGGTGTGGAGAAAGGTGGGGTTTTTCTGGCGAAGAATCAGACAGGAAGTGGAATTGGGTCTCAGGGAAATGGAATTGCGGTGAAAAATCATTCACCCACTGCAATCGGGTTGCAGGGAGGTGGAGATTCGACGAAGAATCACTCGATGGAGGGCGGAAATGGGGTTCCGACGAGTGATCAGGGAAGGGATGGGATTGGTTCTGCGAAAGCCACACTCTTGGCAGCAAAGAACCAGACAGCGAATGGAATACCTTCAAAGAACGAGACTAAATCCGTAGTTGATCCTACAAAAACAAGAGATTTGCCAACGAAGAACCAGACTAAGGTTGGAGACAGAGACGATTCCAAGAAAGATGCAGTCTTGGCAGCTAAGAACCTGACAGTAACCGGAGCTCCTCCAAAGAAGAATGAGACCACAACTGCAGTTGGTTCTGCGGTAAATGGAGATTTACCATCGAAGAATCAGATAGATAAAGGAGTCGCTTCAAAGGTAAATCAAGTTCTTAATTCAACAGCGACTCCTAAGTCTGGGGCTGCTGCAAAGAACCAATCCAGCAGTGGGGTTCCCTCGATTACAAAGAGTACCGGAACTACTACGGCAAAGAGTGAGGAGAAAGGGGCTCCAAGTTTATCATCTTCGCTCGTGAAAGGAAATGGTCCGACCGCAGCATCAGCTAGGGATGAAGGAAAGAGACAGGTGGATTGGATCGGTGCTATGAAAGGTTGTGATATTTTCCAAGGAAGGTGGGTGAAGGATGATTCATATCCACTCTATCCCGAGGGCTCCTGCCCTCACATCGATGAACCTTTTGATTGCTACCGCAATGGCCGGCCCGATCGGTCTTATCAGAAACTCCGGTGGCAGCCTAATGGCTGCAACATTCCAAGGTGATAAACAACAGAAATCTGAAAGTTTTATGTGTTTGGTTCTTTTATGTGTTAAACTTCATATCTGTGTGTTTAGGTTGAATGCAACTGATATGTTGGAGAGATTGAGAGGAAAACGACTGGTATTTGTTGGTGATTCACTGAACAGAAACATGTGGGACTCTTTGGTTTGCATCTTAAGAAACTCTGTCAAAGACAAAAAGAAGGTTTTCGAGGCCTCTGGCAGGCATGAATTCAGAACAGAGGGTTCTTATTCTTTCGTGTTCAAGGTTTGTTTCTGTTCCCAATTTGTCATCCTGTTGTTTCTCATATCATCTCAAGGATTACAGTAGCTGCTACTATTTGTCTGTTTAGGATTTCAATTGTTCCGTGGAGTTCTTCCGCTCGCCATTTCTTGTTCAGGAGTGGGAGATGCCTGTAAGCAACGGCAAGAAAAAGGAGACGCTTAGGCTTGACATAATTGAGAGATCATCTTCCAAGTACAAAGATGCAGATGTTATTATCTTCAACACAGGCCATTGGTGGACTCATGAGAAGACCTCAAAAGGGTAATCAAGAGTTAGACAATCAAATCTTGTACTGTTTTGCATGATTTTCCAAGGTTAACCCAAGTAAGATATTTCCAAACAGGAAGGACTACTATCAAGAAGGCAACCATATATACAGTGAATTGAATGTCGTCGAAGCATTTCATAAAGCTCTCGATACTTGGTCAAAATGGGTGGATACAAATGTCAATCCCAAGAAATCCCTAGTTTTTTTCAGGGGCTATTCTGCCTCACATTTCAGGTGCTCTAGTCAATTTGTTAACTCAGTCATAAGTTTTACCATCAAATGCTTCATTTTCTTTCAGTTTGCTGACACTTGATTCTGTTTTCTGTTCAGTGGTGGGCAATGGAATTCAGGTGGGCAATGTGACAAAGAGACTGAACCCATCAAGAATGAGACGTATCTCTCATCATATCCATCAAAGATGACTGTTTTGGAATCAGTGATCAAGGGAATGAAAACTCCTGCCTCCTATTTAAACATTACAAGAATGACTGACTACAGGAAAGATGCCCACCCTTCCATCTACCGGAAGCAGCACTTGACTGAGGAAGAGAGGAGATCTCCTGAAAGATATCAAGATTGCAGTCATTGGTGCCTCCCTGGAGTGCCCGATTCATGGAATGAGCTACTATATGCACAGCTTATCATCAAACAGCATCAATTGCTGTAACCAAAATTAAACAACCTGGGATAATAAAGTGGTGTTGTATATTAATTTCATATGAGGTAAATAAGTAAATCAATGAGTGGATCAAACTGTCAATGTGAGTACTTACAGAGGGAAAAATACAAATTTCTGGAAGAAGAAAGCATTCAGTATAATTTATTTTATGCAACAAGAGAGGGAAAGCAAGCTGTATTAGTGAGTTCTTCCTCACGTCTACAAAATTCTTTTTCTGGCAGCTTTAGGCATGTTGATGTACAATGTTAATCTTATGTGTTTATTTAGAAATAAAGAATTACATATCTCTGTTATAAAACAGCGTTTTAATTGATTCTTTATTTTTCCTTTTACATCCTTTTATTAATAATGATGAGTCCATTTATGTTGCTCACGATCATGTCTTTCAAGACTTGTGCATTACCTATCATTCTACTACATGTTTCTTCCAAAAAGAAAATCCATTTACTACCTCTTGAGCTTATTCTTCCCGGTTGTAATAGCTTGTCTCTTCCTTTTTTGACATTGACATATCAAATATACATGCTGATAGATGTGAGTTCACTGAATTTTTTCATCCCGAGACATCTTTGAAGGATTACTGATCTTTCGCTGCTAATCAACTCTAGATACATGGGAGATAGCTTGAACGACTTCAATGCATCATGGTGGTCTCACTCTTGATAGTATTGTGGTATTGAACTAATTACTTGGAGATTCATGTTACTATCGCATGGTGTAATAAGCTAATACTTGTAACTTAGACCGACTTTAATTAAGTTGGTATGATGTAAGATTCTTGAACTGATGATTTTTTCTGTAAGATGTAACCGGGAATAGCATTATAATTTCTGTTGTAGGATATTCTATATTTGTTATTTTTTATGTCATTTTCTAATATGCTTTGTGAGACTCGTCGAGGTAAACTTTAGGGTAACAATCTAGTTGAATCTTTACAGGTAAGTGTTACATGATATGGCAATCTTGAACTGCCAGAGTTTTCCCTAAGATGTCACATCTACTGCAAATGAATGTGCTTTTCTTTATAATGTAGCTGTGTTGCAGGTATTTGGATTGCTAGAGTTTTGCATAATGTGTCGCAGGTTACTTACTACACAATATACTTTTTCTCTATCTTACTTTTTTTTCTTTTTTTCCTATAGTTATTTCTCATTTGTGTTTTTAATAACTGTGTAGAAGGCTGACTATGCAATTGTCTTATTAATACTATGGTCACTGGTCTTGTTGTTAATAAGATTAGAACAGACCACTTAGTCTTAGATTTATTTTATTTAACTGAACTTTGGATGGAGATTTAACCTGAATCTTCACTATAAAGCTGTGATGCATATTTAACCTAGGTACTGGTTTGCATCATGGTAAAAGAACTAGCATTACAATGTGGCAGTACAAGAAATCTGGCTTGTCCAAATGTTCTTTCTTCTGAAATTTGCATTTGCTTGTAGCAAAAGCTGTCACAATTAGCAATTTTGATTCTTATCGCTATAAGAAGTTAGATCTTCAGTTTTAGATCCTTATATTTTTCGTATTGTGCTTATTACTCATTTTCTTTTAGACTCTTAGCAATTTTGTTTTTTGTTGGCATTTTTCACCAAACAGAGTTAATTTGTATTACCAAACCCATATTCATCAGAAAATACGGTTATTACGATATCCTATCGAAGAATGTTTCTTTTTTATGCATATTAAAGATTGAATGGTGAAATCAAAGCAACAGCTTTTATGTCTATTGTTGGAAGCAGTGGATGAGTTTTTGTTTCATGCATCATGATCAAGTAATTACTCTGTCACTGATGTGTTCATGGATGAAACCACCCTGGAAGATCTTAGGTGAGTAAATTAAGTTCCTTGTCAGTGTCTATTTTAATTGTTTTGCACATCCCACAACTCTTTTTTGGTACCTCCATTGATCTTTAGTTTATTGCCTTCAGTTCATCATTAAATACTGCATGCATTGGAGTACTTCATCAGTGATTGATTGGTTTATGTGAATTCAAGATGCAAGAATTGCATCAGAGCAAGAGAAACTTTTTTTGTTTGACCTTGCCACCACTTGCATAACACCATGAACAACTTTCTCAATTATAAACTATGATTTACATGACCATAATGATGAAAGAGACATTTTGTGATGAATATGTTCAACAGTTTGAATCAGGGATTTGATCCTACATTTAAGCTGCAGAGGTCATATCATATTGTTGTTTTCGGCATCCAAATGGAAAAGCATATAGAAATTATTACGATTGATAAATATTTTTAATTAAAAAAATATTTTAAAAATTTATATTAATGGGGTATTATGAAAAATAATACTCTTAAGGTTTTTTTTTTACTTATAATCACAAATTTATGTGATAGTATATGCAAACTCAAAAAGGAATTTATTTCTTATATTTTATTATTCTCATATATGATAATCAATTTAAGTTTCTTTCATCGTGGATATATAAAATAGCTCAATCTTCTCTTTAATGAACACACAACAAGAAGAGATGGAGGTGTAATGGTCAACTCACAGAAAGTCTTCAGTTGTTACATCAGACACTTGATATCAATCAATCATTTATCCCAAGATTGTGTTTGGAGGTTGTGATAAGGAGAGCACACCCACCACCTGAAGCCAGTAGATCTGTCTCCATCCACCTCATGTTGTGTGTTCCATCTTTGATGGGTACAAGAACACGACTGGTTTCACTTCTTTGTTCCTCGTGGAAGTGGAAACTCGAAGAAGATAGAACAAGAGAAACATATGAGCTGCTAAACCTCTTAATCTCTCACATCAATAATTCATGTCTTGATCATCTATATGACTGCTTGAAGAGAAATTAAATCTCTCTTGTCAGATCAACTCATACCACCTAGAAACGCAGTGGATATCATTAGCAGCAGCAAAGTATGTTGACGCACATCTTTTCTTGTCCCTCTAACAAAACGCCACGAAAACAAGAGTTATGTACATGAATGGCCAGTGGCTGCTGGCGGTTGGGGCCGGAAGTTGTCAGGGAGGCTGGCGAGGTGCCGCAGGCGTAGGCTTGGAGAAGAGGGCGGCGAAGGAGCTCGGCCGGTGGTCTGCAGCGGTGGAAGCGACGCGCTCGCAGGAGGGGCACATGGAGAGGGTGGTGGCCGGGAGGTGCATGTGGAAAGGGTGGGTGGTCTTGAGGGCCCTCAGCTCCGCCACCTCCTTCTGGAGGCGGCGGTTCTCCTCCGTCAGCGTCTGGCAGCAGCGCTTTAGGTACTCACAGTCCACTTCTGTTTGCTTCAGCTTCGTCCTGCCATTAGATGCAGATACGAAGGATGAGCTTTTCTGGATCAGAAAAGGAACATGACTGCTAACGGAAAGAAAGATGGAGTTGATCTAAGAGTACCTGGCTCTTCTGTTCTGAAACCAGACTTCTACTTGTCGAGGCTGCAGGTTGAGCTGCTTGGCCAGAGCAAGCTTCTGCTTCTGAAATAGATAATCCAATATATATATATTCAATCATGACGTCAAAAGTTGTAATTTTTGTTGTTCTCAGATCTTTTACTGGATTGAGGGTGTTGTGCTCCTTGAAGCTCTCCTCGAGGAAGGCAGATTGCTCCTTGGAGAGGCGGAGCTTCTTCTTCGCCAATCCGTTCTCCTCTTCGTCGCTCACTATAGACGACGCCCTTTCCACCACTCCTCCCCTCTCAGCGCTGCTTCGCTGGGCGGAGAAGCCCATCCGAAAGGAGATGGTGCTGTTCGGTGACGACGAAGACACCGCCGCCGCTTCCTCGGCCTCCTCTGTGGATGGCACATCGAACCCTCGCGTCGAGGCATCCAAATTCCCTACAAAACAATAAGAGTTCAATTTTCGAGCGAAATCCTTCACAATCCAACCGCTGATAAAAGGTCTTAAAATTGGGTAAAGAACACTTTTTTACAGCTTCCTTTCATCCAAATGTGCATTTTTATCTCTTCAGCGGAATTCTTAACGTAAGAAAATCCTTTTTCTAGCAAAAAAATCTAAATACATTTCACCTCTTTTGGAACAAACACCAGTGGATAAGAATCCTAACAGGGCATAAAGATCTTGTTTTCTCCGATATTATTAATACATTTAGTGTATCAAACTATGTCAGGGACAAAGCTCCATCGCCAAATCCTTTAATCCATATGGAACCCAGGAAGAAAAAGAAACAAAAACCCAACTTTCATTGTCTAGGTTCTTACTCGTCGCAGTCGACGATGGGAACCGGAGCAGGGGAGGAGAAGGCTGCCGGGGAACAGGCAAGAGGGGGAGGAGTTTAAGCGGCAGCGCTGGCTGCAAGGACCTCCTTACCTCCCCATCCTCCTTTCCACCCTCCTCCTCGTCCCCCGACGCCGCTTCTTCTTCTTCTTCTTCGCGGCGACCAACATCCAATCCCATCCCAAGCGCCAACCCCTGCTCCATCTCGCCCCACCAGCGCTGCTTGCAGAACAACCACCACCCCGGCAGGCGGCCAAAGGAGAGGCAAAGGGAACACAAAAGGTAGCGAGCGCAGTGGGCGAAACCACGTTTGACCGACAACACTCAGAGGTAGGCAAACACACGTGATCCTCTGAAAGGGGACGACACAGAAACGCAGCAACATGAAAACAACAACAACGGCTTCAGCTTCGGCTTCAGCGGTAGCAGTTATAACAGCAGTCTGACAACCGAAAACCATAATCATATTGACCATCGTTGCGACTCCATCTTCGTTCACCCTTTCCCATGTCCAGCCCAGGATTCCATCAGAAAGCCAAATCCAAATTTTCTATTGCTGCAAAAAAAGATTAAAATGAGATGAATTCTCGAGAGAAAATATTTGCACTAAAACATATTCGTTCTTGTCACTGTAAGAACAAGCGTTGACCTCAGTTGTTGAATTTCGAAATGGAGCCAAATTGAGAAAGATTTTGAGAACTGAAACTATCGAACCGTTAACGGGTTCGATTCGATTAGGGTCCGCTCGTGACGAGGTCACGTGAGGTGCGGCAGATACATAAATGGGCGCCACCAATTTATGGCGCACCTGACGAGCCGTGAACGACGCTCGGAACTCGGTACATCATCCGAAGCGTAATTTCGTTGAACCGCTCAATCGAATCACGGTTCGGGCGGTTCATCCGACTCGCGATGTGAGCGGCACGTTATGTTGGGCCTCACCAGTCACCGGCGATAGCGGGGTGCACGAGCTTGGTCAACGTAGAATCGAAGTTCCGTTACAATCGTACAACGGAAACTAAAATACCGTTATGTTCATTTTATCGGCCACAGTTGCGAGCCAAGTCGTATAACGGACATGGTGGAGGATATTTAAGAAGCGTCGCATCTCATGGGACGTTCGCCCTGTGCGTGTGAGACGGCCTGAAGAACGCTCCCTAAAACACCTCTGACTCTCTTGCTCAGCTCTCTCACCTTGTCTCTTCTCGTGTGGTCAATCATAGCACGTTCGCCGAGCAATCATGGACGACGCAGAGCTCAACCATCACCGGGAGGAGACACCAGCTCCCTCTGTCTCTCTCTCTCTCTCTCCACAGTCGGCTTTCATAGGGCTGCAGTCTATGTCTGCAGAGCAACCGGCATTGGCTGCTGGACGCCAGATCTTTAGATCAGGCGTACGGAACGTAGACAGAGCTTTGCCTCACCACGCACTGTTCATCAACTTCTGAATCAGGCCAATAATACATTAACCCAAAACATCAATGTTCAACAGAAGGATTTAAACTCGTTAAATTATGAGTCAAGTCGATATATATCACCCGACTTATACAAACCTTACCAATCTATTGGTAATCCTTCTTTGATGGTCACAAAGTTTTCACCTATTTTTAATCCTCCAAGAATTTTAGCTTGTTCTCAACACTTGTTTAGATTTTTGTGTCATGTCGTTTTGTAGATTGATTACTGGATTATTGTTTATTTTTCCTTTCTATTGGATCAAGATGGTGATGTACTTCATTAATTATTAATGTATTGGGAATGAATATAAAGAAATTTACATGTGTCCTATTTGTTGTTGTTCCTAAAGGAATTCATCTATTTAGCATTTGGTTTGTCTCCAATGCATGTATCCTATATACTTGCTTCAAAAATATAAAAATATAATGTCTTTGACCAACAATGTTATCATATAAAAATAATATTCCAAGTTACACAAAAGACACCCATATGGTCAACTGTGAACTTTATCTTTGAACAAACATCAGTAGTTTGACCAAATTAATTTCTAGAAGAAGATTCATGTTGATATGGGGAATATTTGCTATTAACTGAAGCTTGACATGTAATAGCCATGCCATCATAAAAGACAAGCACTCGACAAATAAATATGCCACACAATTAGAACAGCAAATATTCTTCAAATATTTTTCTTCTTTCATGAAAATATATCCTTAATCGCTCATAGTTAGGGAGGTACTAACTATAGAGGGTGAACATTGACACAATCTTTGAGGTGCAACTCTCTCTCCACTCATCCCAACCTATATCGGAATATTGACTGCATCAGAGGGATTCATATCCTCTATATCTCAAATGTCTTCCACAATAAATATCAGTAAAGGCCTCCCATAAATAAACAGCATTCTTCTCTCCAACGACACCCTTTCTAGTTCCTGCTGATCACAGTGCATGCATCTTAACCCCATTTTGCTTTCCATATTGCCCTATCAAAGCTTTTCTCATGATCAGTCAAACCTTGCCTTCCTTCTAAACATTGTGCACTCTTTTCTTCTCTTGTTAATGCCCAATAGTTCTACTGCAAAGCTCTAAATAGAGGTATGGAGTTCTTCATCTCATCCTCCTTCCTATCCATCGTTAGGCAGAGCATAGTTTACGGGGCATGCATGAGAATGTTGATTTCTGTGACACCGATGGCGTTGACGGAGATCTATTTTATGAGCTTCTGGTTATTGGTCGTGTCTGTCTGTCCAAGGGGGAGAACCGTTGATCCACTTCGATTCCCATTGTTAATCGATTCCGATCTTTCATCTTTCAAGTAAACTATTTTCCAAGGCTTGGAAATGGTTTTATTAGCTGAAATTATTGTTATCGTTTTGTTAGTTAATATCCGTTGTATTAATGTTGAGATATTTGAGCATTCTCATGAATGGATTTTGTCTTGTGGGTGCAGATATGCGGCAGGCTTGGACTGATGCAGAGAGAGAGATCCCACCGAAGAAGAGAAGCACATATAAATATAGTGCAGAGATGAATCATGGAGGATCCCAAGATGACTCCCAGCCCAAGACGGCAAGAAATGATCCCACCGCTGTCACCACCACCGCTGCTGCTGACGTAAATGACTTGTGGATGACAGCGGAAGCTCTTCCTGACGTCTCCATTAACGAGACCGAAGCATGCAAGGTAGTCATGAACACTGAAGAGTATAGTTTTCTGGAGGAGACTAGTATGAGGCAAATAACTCTCTGCCATCGTGATGCTTTGGAGAACAGTAATGCGACCGAGAATCTACGATTTGCAGCAAGGAAAATAATTAGCACTCGAAGGAATCACAAGCCGAAGATTATAGGATGGGGAGTTACCAGAAGAAGGTCCATGGTTAGGGTGAAGATGAGAGACAAACTGCAACCTTATGCCGAGGTCCATGAGAACGATGATCTCTACTCTAAGGTGAAGAGGAGGCGTGCAGTAGGTCTGAGAGTGAGATGCTGAACTGCACGAGGAACAGCTGCAGTGAAGATGAGGCGGCGCTGACGCGGAGAAGCGGGAGGAAGATGACGGGAGAGAGGAGTCCGACACCAGAAACCCGTTCGATGAAGCGATTGCTTCTACGTTGACCTCAAACACACAGTCAACGACTCCATCGCCGATTCAAAGCTCACCCTCGTTGACTATATCAATATGATCAATTTATGTTACCTCGTACATCCTATTTTGGGCAAGATTGTGCGAGTAAACGTGGTGATTCGGAAGACGCTTATTTTCCTCGGGGAGTACTGTAGCTTGGTTAGAATTAAAGCCAGTACAAGTTTCTAGAAATTTCGTCCAAATTTATTTCATTTCATCTCATCTCATCGTAGGTAGAAAAGGATCGATGTTATGGGACAATATATGGAAATTAAGTACATACATAATTATCCATTGTCTACAAGACATATTTTTTGGTGTTTTATGGGTTCGATTGTTACATGTGAATCTAGCTGTTTTTATCCTAAAAAAAAATGTTTTTGCTTATCTTAGCATATTTCTTAATGGATAAAAGTTTGGAAACCAATGAAAAGCTCGTGAACGTAATAATCTCGCAACAAAATCTAATGTTGATGTTGTAAAACATATGTTTCATACATTTTTTTTAAGCGGTGAATATCGAATCAATCATGAAACCAATAATCAAGATCTTTTACCAATTAATTTATTTAAAATTATTAAAATATTATCAAATGATGTTTGGAATCTCGATTTTTAATAGATAGTTTTTCGATATATGATAAGGGACTATTTAGTCGGTCGACCAATTATGCGGCCAATAAACTCAAGCACGTGAGCTATAAAAATAAGAGAGTCCCAAAATGTACCTATAAAAATAAGAGAGTCCCAAAAAACTTATAAGTTTTTGGTTCTTATCAAGACTAATGTTTTAAATATCACTATTTATAGTATATGAATTGTTAGAGTCAATATAATGATAAATCTGAGTTAAATCAGTCAAAATTATAAATATATTAGATTAGACATCAATTTAGTATACAAGGTTAGCTTAAGCCTATTAAGTTATGAATCCAACTAGGTATATATAATTCAACTTTTCTTTAAACGGTGGTGATTCAGTTTATCACCATTAGATCAATATTTATTCTCTAATAGGTGGATGTATATGAATTCAACATAAAAATTTATGTTAATTAAATTATGATTCAAACACAACAGTAATTGTTTTGAGATTTGGTCAATTGCATCAATACGATTCTAATACTAATTATAACGATCTAATCTCATAAATAACCTATAAACTTCAATAAATATAATTTACTAATTTAAAATCTTTAAACTTAAGATACTAATAATATGTCCACTCTCATAAATCAATCGTATTAATCAAAAATCGAGCTGGCCGATTTGGTGTAGAAGATCCCAATCAATTTAGAGAGAGAGAGAGAGAGAGAGAGAGCTGCACTTGTGGAGCCACACATCATGGTTGGAGTGGCAACGACAAAAAGCCTGGCTGGCCCTTGACGGCCTCCTCTCATTGCTTTGCCATTGGTCAATCGATTGTCGGGACCCACCCTGCATCTGTGCTAGTTGTTTTTGGACACGCGTCCCCATGGAGTCTCCGACGCCGATCCATTGGATCGGTTATTGGGCGTCAGTCGTACCACTCACCCACCCGCCTTATGATTGGGTGGAGCCATGCGGGATCCACCGGCGGAAGGCCATTACTGCCTCGCGTCACGGGCAGGTGGAATAGGAGATGCGTTGCTCGAAGATGTCTGATGCCGTGAGAGTGTCAAAAATGTCACGTTCCACCCAATCTCACATTCTAGGTTGTGGCGCCTCTCACTGGCGGGGAGGAGTGCCCCCACATGCACACCATTCCTTGGGTCCCATCACCCACTTTGGCCAGTAGACAAAGTGTTGTTTACCAACCCCAACACACCCCGGAATCAACCTGAGGTAATTATCGGAATAAAAACCTTTTTCTCTCCATAATCCCTGATGTATCCCTCTATAATGCATTATAGATAGGTCCAATCTCTCATATATATAATATCTTTTTATACTTTCATTAAAACAATGTAAATCTATTCAAAAGCTATATAATTGAGATAAATGGTCTCAAAACATAACATAAATCAACTCATACAAAAATAGGTATTGATATAGACATATTTTCTAGGATTATGACAAATAAGAAATGCGGTTTGAGAAATATAAAAAAAGGGAAGACCGCTGTGGTATGGCAAAATTAGAGGTAGCAAGTATATGGATATTATGGAGTTGCACCAATCAACAGCCATTGGGTCTACGGGATCGGGGCTGTGGACGAATGAAGAAGGAAACCACAAGACTGGAGATTGCACCAGATAAAGATACCTCGTACAGATCCACATAACAACACCAAGAGCAGTAGAGACTCGAATTCTCCTTCGAAATGACCAAAACAAAGAGAAAAACGCAGCAAAATTTGGAGCAGATTAGTTGTTCTTCAAGCACCAGTGGTCGTGGCTTCCATGATAAGAACCTGAACGCACCTGCTAATGTTTTCACACCATTGCCTCGCTGCCATCGGGCATCCGCATGAACGGATCTTCTGGCGGCTGCGACAGTAAAGATGGCAATGGACGATTGATTTCGTCGAGCAAACTGCTGATCCTTCGAGCCTTCACCATGCCGATCTTCTTCCGTTTCGGTGCGGCCGTCTTCTCCTTATCATCTTCCATCTTGATCTCATCCGCGTCATCGGGCTGTGGTTGCTTGTCCTCTAAAGGTTTCGAGAGAGCAGTGGTTCGCTCACTGCTTCGCTTGAGCTTACCAGTGCTCGTGCCCAGTTGGCCTCGCACGCTGGCCATGCTCCTCAGCCTCCCCTTCCCCAAATGGTGCTCGCAGAGAGAGTAGCCGACGAGCGTCTTCTGGCAGCACCGCCACCCCCTGCCGTTGACCCGGCTGCACCGCGACCCCTCCATCAGCACCGCTGGGCTCCGCCGCTTCTTCCCATTTGACCCATTCCCATCCATCCATCCTACTCCCTCCTCCTTATCCTCACCTTGGCATCTCCCGTTATCGCTAGCATCGACTCTAGTGCAAGCACTACCATTTGCTGGGGTGTCACTCGTCTTCGCCCTCCCCTTCCCCTTGGGCTTCTTCTCAATGTCCATCCCATATCCTCCTCTCTTTTTCTTCTGCGATGTTGCAGCGTCTCCAAGCTGTTCCCACGCCGACACCGGTGCACTTGAGCTGCTAGAGATTCACAACATCAGGCCAATCTCGGTAACTCTTCATACTCGTCTCATGAGCTGATACCTAGCCATGGGAATCCGAAAGAGGAGGAGATGTGGGAGGGCGTGTGGGTGCGTGCGTGGATGCGTGATGAGAATGGTGGTCGGATGCGATGATGGGTCAGCCTGGCATGCACAGGCAGAAGCAACAGCACTGGGGCTGCCTTTTCTTTATGTGTTGGTTTGCCCGCAAGCGATGGTAATACGAGCGAAAGCTACTCATTTCCTATGGACAAGAAGGGGGCAGAGGCACAAATAGTTACCTACCTGCAATTACTATTGACATGGGTATTCCATCCCTCGTTGCTATCCACCATGCCGTCCTCCTCCTTCGCATCCTTTCTCAACACCTGCAGCAAATCCGAAAAAGCCCCATCCCAAGGTGGGGTTATGCAACAATCACCACATTGCACCCATCAGGACCCCGAGAACAAGAAGGGGATCTCGCCAAAGAAGCGAAACAAAGCAGCAGGTCGATGCAGAAGAAGAACAAGGAAGGTTGTGAAGATGAGTAAGTAAGCGCACCTTCCCTGCTGCTTCGCTGCTGCTTCCATGGGGCTGATCAGGATGGGGAGGATTCCCCGCCTCACTGGGGTCTATGTTTAGATCCCCATCAGAGTGCAACCTCTCTCCACCTCTCCCACCATATCCTCCTCCACTATTATCAGGCGTTCCAGCTGTTGGATGGACATAGGAGGATGGATCTGGGAGCAGAGAAGGAACCGGAGGCGGCGGCGGCGGCGGCCGAGAGATGGAAGAAGAAGGGGAGGCGGAGGGATTTGGCCTCTTCCGGATCCTCATGGTAGATGAGATTGGGAGAGAAAAGCAGATGGATGGATGAGGAGAGTGGTAACGATTTGGGACAGTGCAAAACCCCACAGCGGTTCCAATAGGGCTGCTATATACTAAAGCGGACTCTTCTTTCATTATCATTTGTTTGTTTTGGGTGCCGTTCTTTTGCTCGCAGTTAATCCATTTCATTTACGACCCCACGCGGCACGTGCGGCACGAGCGGGAGGGAGGGAGGAGAGAGAGGAGCTCTTCATCAATCAGTGGGACGGGGGTGGGGATGATGATGGTGATGTGGGGTCGTGATGGGAGTACGGCATGCACGTACACGGCCGACGAGTTAATGGACAAAAGCGGGTTTGTTCCCGCCCCCTAACTGCATCCGCCTACGGCGGATCCGCTTTCTCGCGTATTGAAAGCTCCAATTTTGAGATGGGAGGACGTGACATGTGCTGTATGCCATATGCGATGTCCGGCTTGATGTGTACCATTTGTCATGTCGGGTGGTTTGATGGGCCCGACTGTGGATGTGATCGATTGCGCCTGATCTGAAGAAAACCTTCTCCTAATTGATATTTGGGAAATCGCCATCGTCAAATATTTTTATTATTATTCATGAAACTATGTATCAAATACCATATTATAGATTTTTTATTTCATTTAATTATCGATAGTATTTTTATATCTAGTTATTAAAAAAAATCTGATATGTTAATCTGTACTACAAATATGGTTATAAAAATGATAATATGAATTCTAAACCAGTATTGTTTACTAGTCAGAACATCTTAACCTTAGAACAATTTAAATGATTTATTTATTATCATATTTAAGAATTTAAATTTTTTCATGAAAGAAAATTTTTTATTATATTTATTACTATCGCCTCCCTCCATATAATCTTTTTTTTGGGTAATAATATTATTAATATATCAAATATTTATAATATACATATATATATTATATTTTTTAAAAACAATTAAACATAATCTTACACGCATGATATTTTTTGTCACGTGCACAGCACGTGTCACTAATGTTTTTTGGTTTTGCCGCCATCTCTCGCTTTCCCGCCATTGCCCGCTCTCCAATTTGGTGTGCTGATAGGTTGGATTGCGTTAATATGATCGGCAATAAATGCTAATAATTAGCACATAAACGTCCTTTTGTCACATGGGGTTGATTTCTACGTTTCGTCAAATCTACGCTTTTAACACGTATTGCCTAAATGGATTACGATACTACATAGTATATACACGAAGCATGGGAATAATAACACTATAGTATTATTGCGCGAGTAAACGTTAAGCTTTACAGGCTTTTCGTCGAACACCTTGCGGTGGTAGATTAGTTCCGGTCGGGTTTAGGGTGACCTCCACACAAGCTTGGGCCGTGGCTTTACCCAGATCCGTAGTCTCCTCCTCATAACCTTCCCGCCTTCTTCCGCTCCCCACGTAGGGCAAGAAGGGGACATCGAGGGATCCCCATGGCGGCGCCGAGTGGATCTCGGAAGAAGGTCCAGCGCAAGTTCAAGCTCCGCGGGTTCACCCTCAAGGTCGACGCCCTAGAGGAGACCCTCGCCTACCTTGCCCGCTTCCCTGACGCCGAAGACGGATACCTCGACCTCCTCATCGATGATATCGATAAGCAATCCCGTGCGTTTCTTTCACCTTGGTTATTATTTGAGATCCCATCTCCATCTTTTCACTCTGTTCTGACCCCTGGATTCCTAAAAATCGTTTTTTTTTAACATCAACAGTGAAATCGTCCATCTTGGATCGGGAGGCAATCCGCCGGGTTGTTAGCCTCCTGCTCAATGCGGATGCCGCCGTCGACCCCAGCGCCGCCAGCACCAGCAGCAGCTTCGCCCTTAGGGTGATTGATGCGTTCGTGATCCCTCGGTTTCGTTACGATCCCATCAAGAACGTCTTCTACGAGTAGGCATTCTCAAAGATCTCGTCGTTCTTAATTTCCTCCTTCTTCCTTGTTTGTTTCTTTCCATAATGTTGCTTGGTTCCATTGGCTATATGCATTATTAGGTTAAACTTGCGACAAAAATGGCATCTTTGGTTTTTTTTTGGTTTATGTTGAATTTTATGACATATGGTAATCGGACTATTATACGCGTTGCATTTGTTTCTAGACACACGGGAAAGTTGCCTATCCATGGGGATGCTGGTGATAAAGCTGCCCTATATAGGGATCGATACCAGTTATTGCTTCAGAGGATTGCTCGCGACAAATTCTTTTCAAAACCCGTTTTTGACACCAAAATGACTGAATCCGAGAGCTGTGAGGTATCATACTCTTTCTGAAACTTGGATTAGATTCTACATCTCTGTCTATTGATTTATGCCTCCTCATTGTTTGTATGCAGATCACTCCTATTCAGTCTTTGATTGGATGCACCGGAAGAAGATGGATTATGGGCGTGATATCACAGTTGGAAGAAGGCCAGTTCTACTTGGAAGATCTGTCTGCTGCTGTTCCAATTGATTTATCTAACTCAATATCCTTTCACAATTTATTTTTCATAGATTAGTTGCAAATAAATTGCCTACAGTATTTATATGCAGTAAAGGGCCATATGTTGTGTTTGATAAGGATAGTTTGTCCTACACCTTGATGAGGATTGATTTTCTCATCCTCCAAAATTGTCGATGGGAGTCAACCTGGGACATAATATAGAATAGTAAGAAGGCTGCAATTTGTAACATGGAATAATAAGTGTATAAGATGTCAATTTTCCTTCATGATGTACATCAAAATTTGAATTGTAGACTTCTTATTATCTGAAAAGTTCTGAAATATATTTACACAATAAGAAGAGCATCAATGACTCAAGAAAGAAGCACAAGTTGGCATTCTCAAACATAATGGATTAGTATAAACTATTAAGTGTGTTCAGTTTAAAAGCTTTTGGTACATATCCCTCTCATTCATGCTGTATACTAAAAGTGAAAATAAGTTGATGAAATTTGGCTTCTCGGCTGTAGGTAACCCAAAATAATTGTATAAACCATCTGACTTCCTACTGTCAAACTTTAGTCATAAAGGCTGTATCCATGACACAACCACCTTTCAGAATGTTGGTTATATATTTCCCAGACCCTATCAGTATCACCTTGTACTTCCTTAACTTTGAGCTATATGTGTTCATGCTTATTTCCTGATAATCTGGGGAAAAATGAGAAAACATAAAAAGCAGTTGTTATTGCTATTGCTTTAAGAAGACGAAACCTGTTCTTCTGTGGGATAAACTTAGTTATATCCATCTGTTACCGGCAACTTGAAAATTTTCAAGTAATGGGGTTACTGTTGCTTGCTAGCTGAATTTTTGTGAGGGCAACACAATCAACAATGATCATTAGCATCTGAATTTTATCACCTTGATGCCCTGGAGCGAGCAAGTCATTATAATTTATTTGTATCATTTGCCAAAGTGCCAGTCCTTTCATATTATGTGATTATTACTTTTAGTCTTTTCTCATCTAGGAAGGCTGTTATAACTAGCTTTTCCTTAATCTTTATCACAAAATCACTTCAGGATTCTTTGTTGAGAACACTGTGGTTGTAGTAGAAGGAGAGTTGCTTTCAAATGGTATTTTCCAGGTGAGGCTTCCTTAAAATTGTAAGCTTTTGTATTCTGCTTCTCTAGTATTTCTTTCATGAAATGGATGAATCAGAGGTTTTTGTATGATCCATGTTTCACAATTTTACAAACTTATAATTGTGATAAGATCAAAAAAATTAAGAATCTTAGTTAGGATGCATGCTTGTTGTGGAAAGTGGAAACCCAAAAGGAATTGGGAAACTTTTCTGATATTATAAATCACATAAACATTGGTAATTATTGTTGTAAGACTTATGCAGTAAGCTCTGGTAATAGCTTTCACCAATACACTCAATGATTTGGGGTTTCAAGATTTTGGAGTTGCACCCTAAGGTGAAGTGGCTATATTCATTCTGCTTTGGAAGTCTCTGGGAAAATAGCCTTCTAGTTAATATAATATAATATAGCTACTTGGATCTTTGTGCATTTATCATCAGTTAAATCTCAAGGATTCCTACTACAGCACAAACCTAAATTTCATAACTTTTGCATGATTTGTAGGTCAATACATGTGGATTTCCACCCATGGAGGATAGAGAAACTTCATTGGCACTACACATGGGGCTTGACTTCTTCGGTGGAGACGTTTTATCAACCGAAGAAAATGTATTCTTATCTGCACCCTTTATATAAATCATCATTCCCAGCCAGATTTACTTAATGAGTAACGAGGATATCTTCTATATGTCAAAATTTGACAAAAAATGGTTCCCTATGTCAAACAGTTCAGATTATTAGGGCTAGAGAAGAAGGCAGTAAATGACATGTTTGTGGTCCTGTCAGATGTTTGGTTGGACAATGAAGAGGTAGACTCAGTATCTCTTAGTCTCTTCAATCTAATGGGTTAATGTTTTCTTCTCAAAATGATGGACTTTGTTATTTGATAGAAAAGACTATGGAAAAGCTCGCTGTGGTCTTTGACGGTTATGAAAGTGTTGAGGTGGTTCCTTCTTTATTTATCTTGATGGGGAATTTCTGCTCTCGGCCCTGCAACCTTGCTTTCTATTCTTATTCAACTCTCAGGTAGGACCCTCTTTAACCTTTTCTGGATGTACTTCGACTAAAGATCTTAATGAAAAGGACAGCCCTGTGCACAAAGCTCCTGCGAATGAGGGGGTCAATATATTGTTTGACAATGTTCTTTAATTAAAAGAGCTTATGTAATTTGCAAGACTTCATGATTGTACTAAGTATCACTTGTCAGAAAAATAAGTATATGACAGATAAATTACAAAATGCAGAATGCAGTTTGCAAAGCTTGGAGAAATGATTGCTTCTCACCCAAGACTAAGAGAACAAAGCAGATTTTTGTTTATTCCAGGTCCTGATGATGCAGGTACCATATATTCTTTAACTTCTATTATTACTTGAAATTTGTAGATACAATTCTGGTGTGGGCCAGCCCATGATTCTGTTACCATAACCTCTCTAAGTATCTGTTGCCTATACTGATCGGGAAGTTTATTAATTCCCATGATCTACAGAATGTCTTAAATTTTGTGCTGCCACGTGTCATGATTCATATGCATACTCCCTATACGTGATTATTTGAGAACATTTGTGATCTCTTATCCGAGATTAATGCAATCCAAGCTCACAAAGTTTGACATTGTAGGTCCATCCAAGGTTCTTCCAAGGTGTGCTCTGCCAAAGTATCTCACTGAAGAATTGCAAAAGCATATCCCTGGTGCTATTTTCCGTAGCAACCCATGCAGGTTAGATTTATGTGATAATTGAATTGCCCTATTGTTAATTATTTTTTCCACATGAAAAACATTAGCTAGTTTGTCACTCTCACCGAATAGTTGGTTGGAGAATATCAATGTACTACCATCCCATTTCTCTTTAGATGATATGTTCCATCAAGCTTTAGACTAATACTTCCTGTTAAATGATATAAGAGTTGGTACATAAACCAATGTCATAAGCTGCACTTGAGGCCATTTTTATTCTTTCTGTATACATCGCAATGGAATCATATGCTTGTTTCTAGCTCATCTGATAATCTTAATTTGTGACTCATTGTGAAATTTGCAGAATTAAATTTTACACCCAAGAAATTGTTATTTTTCGGCAAGATTTGCTTTACAGAATGCGTCGATCTTGTTTGATTCCTCCATCAACAGCAGAAACGAGTGATTATTTCCAGCATGTGAGTTTTCATTTTTCGTTTATTTTGCTCTTTTGTATCTAAAAACTGGAATTTGCGAGTGGTTACACTCAGATGATATGTTGGTTGCAGCTTGTAGCCACTATTACTCATCAAAGTCATCTTTGCCCCTTGCCGCTGACTGTGCAACCCATCATCTGGAACTATGATCACTGCCTTAGATTATATCCAACTCCACATACGGTATCAACTCTTCGTGTCATGCATACCCGAAAACATGTGTGCAAGGTTATCAAACTTTAATGCTGTTGTTTTACAGATAGTGTTGGGCGACAGGAGTGAGCAGAAGGCTTTCAAATATACTGGAATAACATGTTTCAATCCAGGCTCCTTCTCTAATGACAACACATTTGCTGCATATCGCCCTTGCACTCAGGAGGTTGAGTTGTCTGCCTTGGAAAGCTAATCCAGTTTGAACCATACTGCTCCCTACATGGTTAAGAATCACCAGTTGACAGAACCCATGCTTATGGGTCACCATGCTCTGCTGTATGTGTATGTGCTGCCAAGACATGCCCTCTGAAACCACAAAATTAATGTGACATCGGCCTATTGTGGGAATAAGTATGACATTTGTGGAAACTAAGGATTCGAAGGAAGCATCGATGAACACTCCTATGAAGTGTTGTTCATAGATGATATCAGTGTGCAGATATCCCGAGATGTGAAACCGGAAATGTTGACTTCAATGGAACTTCAAATTCGTTTGTAATTATGTATCTGATCTTTTCTGGGACAGCGCATGGCTTGATTCTGCTTTGGAGGTTAAAGGTCAAGTTCTTTGGTGGTAAATGAAAATTTTGGATGTATGAGAAAGAGTAAGGAACTAATGTTGGCTTTGTTTTTATGATATTTAGGCCATTGATTCCCATTCAATTCAGTTCATGTCTTTCATGTGATGGATGCTGTACAATTTGTAGACATTGTCATTGCTCATCTTCTATTGTTTAACCTAACAATGTGATCATGTCATGGGCATAAATTAGACACGACAAAATATGCCTATTTTGATGTAGTGAAGACCTAAACAAACAAGGTTAAAAGAGTTACCAACTTGATTATTTTAGCATATCCTTTCTTGCTAAGAACCCTATTTAATTTAGAGACATTCACTAGAGCTTGATTTGTATACAAAGCAATGGAGATGTAAAAGGATAGCTTGAAATGACACATTGAGTGTTTCTTGCCAAAGGAAAATATGATAGTGACATAAGAACTTGACTGAAAGATAGATTGACTGCAAGTGTTCCAATATTCTAATCACAAAGAACCTTAGGGGGGGGTTCTACTGGTACCATTATTTTATGCATTCAAAGGCACCTATTATGCTGACACAAGATTACCACCATCTGATTTGTTCTCGTGTCTAACAACATATATTTATCTTAGTCAAATCTAGCAGCTTTATGACTAATCTATTTAATGCATATGGTGGATCATATTGCATGCGGAAGAAAATTAATATCCCTTTCACCTCAGTGATAACTATAGTTAATTGAAGAGATTCAAACCAATTGCAGAGAAAAACATAAGTATTGACTGAAAACCGGTGAAATTGAAATGGACAGATACCTTAGTGAAATGGATCATGTGATTCGTACTCAAAACCTATTATGATACGTTAGCAAATCATTTGATTGGATTGTCATAAATCTCAAAACTTGAACTGTTAGGCATATATTCAAACATGAAGCACCATAAATGCATCACATACAACAGCTACAGATATTACCAGGATCAGTTTACCTTCGGGCTTGAATTATTAGTGACAATATGTAAAATAAAATAGATTTATTTATATAATCTGTGTTGGAATAAAGTTAATAAAAAAAATTGATGTTGTGTCAAAGTTAAGAGAATATTTTTAAAATTTGAACAAATAAATTAGATCGGAGAATTTCTTATTTGTATTAGATTCGAGTTCGTTTGTCATTTGTAGTTTGTCTATCATTATGGTCTCCGTCACTTCCTCTTCCTCGATAATATATATATATATATATATATATAATAAATTATATATTTATTATATTAAATAATTTATTATGAGTCAGCATATTACATAAGCAGATTTTAATGTCTATTTTAATGTCTATCTAAAATAACTCCTATATTTTAATGTCTATCAATTCGGATTTAATATTAGGGGCTTATATGCTACATTTATTAAAATATAGGAGTTATTTTAGACACAAATAAAATTATAAGGGCTTAAGTGGTCTATGATCGAAATCACATCGATTAAAATTAATTTTTTTAAATTTAAATTATATATATCATTATATTAATAGTTTATTATAAGTCAGTATGTCACGCAAATAAACTAACTCAGAATAAATTTATATGTTATGTTTTTAAAAATATAAATATTATTTAAAATATGAGTAAACCATAAAAACTAAGTAGTCTATGATCAAAATCATAACGGCTAAAATAAACCCTTTATACTCTATAAGTCTTGCATTTGGTGGATGTATCGGTGAAAGCACTAATCATTTGTATAAGTAAATGACCTTATTACTCGTATCTTTTTCGACACGGGCATTTCATCAAACGTTTGACGAAATGGGTCCGGTGGTTGTCACCCATGCAAGGAATGTAGTGTTTCGTGATAAGCTTAGCTGCTGATGCTGATTGGTTGGCGAGGGAGGTGAGACTTTGGACCAAGTTCTTGCGTCGGGAAGACAACTTCCATTTCTGCCATCGTTGCAGCGCTTCTACAAAAGTCTACTTGCATACCTGAAGACGATCTACAACTACTGCTTCTTTCACTGCATATATCCATCTGCACGAAATTAATGCCAATACTGTATACTTTCCTTGCCCGGCGTTGGTGACCAATATGTGTTTACTAATGCATGTCCTCAGTGTAGTGCTGGGGAAGATGATGGTTGGTTCTCAAGTAAACGTTGTAGGTTAGAGAGGAGAGATGTTGAAAGAGGAACAGAATTCACCCACCCAAGCAACCCCCTCTCTATATCTCTCTCTCTCTCTAATCTTTTCCCCCACCACACCCCACTTTGTGTGAACCACAACTCTTTAGTCTACACGTACCATTCAACCACCGGTGCATGTAACTATCCGTAACTCTCTAACTAGAAACTCTCCATCGCATTTTATATGTCTCCCCACTATCTCCACCTCTGCGATCTTCTTTTCCACCGAAGGCATACTGATCGTCGAGAGATGTGCACCAAAGATCACTGGAGGCCTGCAGAGGACGCGAAGCTCACGGAATTGGTTGCCAAATATGGCCCTCATAACTGGAACGCCATCGCCGAGATGCTTCAGGGTAGATCAGGTGCAGTATATTATCTCTGTGCCTCTGCGTTTGGTCTCTCTCTCTCTCTCGACGGTTCATTCTGATAATGTTTCCACTCAACCATTTCAATCAGGAAAGAGCTGTAGGTTGAGATGGTACAATCAACTGGATCCAAGGATCAACAAGAATCCTTTCACGGAGGAGGAAGACCAGCTGCTGCTCGCCGCTCATCAGATCTATGGAAACAGGTGGGCTATCATCGCACGCCTATTCCCCGGACGCACCGATAACGCCGTGAAGAACCATTGGCATGTGATCATGGCACGGAAGCACAAAGAACGGTCTCGGCTTCATGGTAACTTCGTCGACGAGGAGCAGTCTCAGAGATGCAAGAAGAGAAAGCTCGAGCCGAGAAATATGGTTTCCATGATCGAGGAGTCTGATAGAACATCTGTCACGGTTCATCACTCTCAGCATGAGGATTCTCACCTTGACATGCATGAAGGTAACATATTCTACAGGTATTTTCATCGGAAACACTTGGTGTAATTAGGCACTTTAATCTACTTAGCATGATGGTCTGATTGCAGATAGAGATAACTCGATGGAGTTCTATGACTTCCTCCAAGTAAACAGTGACTCTGACAGCACTCAGGAGGATTTGGGAAGAAAGAGAGAAGAAGATGGGGAGGAGAAGAAGGGAACTCATGTCAGGTTCATTGATTTCATGGCTGTCGGAAGCATATAATTATGCTTATAGGAAAAGAATTAACATCATCACAATCTGTTTAATTTGTGTACTGCGCATAAACCCTAACATATATTTAATCATGACAACTGACATGTACATGGCTTGCAAGCTCTCCGAATGAAAGCATTCCTCAAGAGCATGCATCTATGGATTTGTAGAAACATTGATGAGTCGACAACTGTAATATACTTCATGTAAATTCACAAGATGTTGTGGTCTTGATTGAAGTAGCTTTTCTTCAATGATAATTAATAATTGGTATTGGATTGTTTAGTCTAATTATTGGGTTTTTAAATATATATTACTAGAGGTCCAATGACATAACAAGGAACATTTATTTTGCTTCCTTTTTATAGCATTTTATATATAGACAATCTTTTGAGACAATTAGTAGATTAAGCAATTTGAGGTTCTTATTATTAGGTCTATCACATTTTCTTGAGATCGGTAATGACTATTTCAATTATATGATAATTTCCTATAGAAAATATTTTTCTAACTCTTAAAGATATATATATATATATATATATATATATATATATATATATATA